ACAACCAGATCCTCACGTGCTTCATCCCACCCTTGGTGACACGGCCTGGCAGCATCCTAACTTCAGAATCTTACAATACCGATTGATTAAAATCAGAACCACACTAGCTGTAATTTCCACTGAGAAGAAGATTATCCTCTCATCCCCTTCCTCTTGTCACGTTGCCTCCACTCTCAATTACAATGACAACAAATCATGCATTACTGTAATTTCAGAAGGAGAGATTTTGAGGGTCTCCATAGAGATTATGCATTTCCTGGTCTCCATGGAGATGCTAACCCATGAAATTATTTTCATCCCCTGACCCTCTTTGTCTTTTGTGTTGACTTAAAAACATGAATTGGGCGATGAATTGTGCTCTCACATACATTCGGGACCACAAAGGACATTTGCATACCCCTCCAAATATAGCACCCTTGTGTTTGACTTCCCCTCAGCCAGCTCATAGTCTCAGCAGAGCTCAGTGGAAAACAAGAATTCAACAATCAGTCCCTTCACTTCTCCTTCTGAGTTGAAAAGATAAACACCCCCAAATGCCACTTTATAAAGAACAGCTAGACAAGTAGCACATTAGCAATTTAAATTTACAGATTAAAGAAAAGGACTTACACGGTGAACTTTAAAAGAGAAATATGAGTAGCTTGGATAAGTAACAGAAGGCTTAACAAATTTCTATACATGTTAAGCAGGTGAAGACACAAAAGAGGAAGACAGATAATTAAGATCAGTATACAAGAAGCATGTCTAGTCACGGTCGGATGACATGACAGCAAGAAAATACATGCTCAAGCCTAGGAAAAGATCTAGCTACCCTGAGGCATGGTACACATGAAGTTTCATTCTGGGGGTGCGGGGCTCAGAGGGCAGGCTTGAACAGCGGCGCGACTCTAAGTCAGTCTGGGGTTGCATCCTGCCTGTGTGTCCTAAGGATGTCATTATAAAGTACCATAGACCAGGTGACTCAAAAACCGCAGAAATTCATTCCCTCACAGTTTTGGAGGCTAGAAGTCCAGAGTCTGGGTGTCAGCAGGGTTGGTTTCTTCTGAGCCATCTCTGCTTGGCTGGTGGCTGGCCATTTTCTCCCTGTGGCCATACCTGGCCTCTCCCGTGTGTATGTGTCCTGAGCTCCTCTTCTTGTAAGAATGCTCATTATATTTGATTAGGCTCCATCCTAATGACTTCATGTTAACTTAGTTCCCTCTTTAAAGACTATCTCCAGGGACTTCCCTGATGGTCCAGTGGTTGAGAATCTACCTTCCAACGCAGGGGACGCAAGTTGGATCCCTGGTTGGGGAACTAAGATCCTGTGTAATGTGGGGCAACTAGAGAAAGCCCACATGCACGCTGCAACAAAGACCCAGCAGAGCCAAAAAAGACTATCTCCAAATGGAGTCACATTCTAAGCTATTTCAGATCAAGACTTTAACACATGAACCAGGTGAGGGGACCCGATTCAGCCCATAACACACCCTTCTCACTGTAAATGCACCTCTGGTCACCCTCTCTAAGCATCTTCTCCAGGCTTAGCTCCATGAACAGGAGTTTCCTTTCTCTTTTCCCAAGGCCTTTCTACACACGTCACATTTCACATTTCTGCTCAGAGGCATTGCTTCATATTTCCCTGGGCATAGCCCCTAAACTTTAAGCTGCACAGAAACCAGAACACCATCTCTAATCACTGGACCACTCAGAGCAGTGGCAGGTGTTTGCTTGATAGAATATTTCTAATTAGGAGAATTCATCTGGAATACATAGCAATACCTACCAGAAAAAGTTCAGAGTATTTTGCAGGGAGTACATTAAAACTCATAACCACTCATTTCAGCCAAGAGGTTGTGCTTTCGTAAAGTCTGTTTTTCTTTCTAGATCTCCTTCACCCCTGAGTATCACCATGGTTGGGGATGCAATTCACCAGAAGGATTGGCGTCTGGGGCCCCAGGGTGCTTTCTGTTGTGCGATCCTGGCGTGACAGTTCTAGGGGCTCACGAGAGGAAAACAAGCTGTTCAGAAGGACTCGCTGAGACAGGCTCACTAGAAAAATTCCCTTGTGCAATTTTGCCTGGCAGAGAGCCAATTAACTGAGCACGTCACCCTCTCAACAGTGGCCACTTGACCCTGCCAATCAGCTTAGAAAGGCTTCTGTATACAAAGACTCATCAAGCGGGGTGTGTGTGTGTGTGTGTGTGTGTGTGTGTGTGTGTGTGTGTGTATCTACCTGTAAAAATAGATAATACTTAAAAACATAGAGCATCATTNGTGTGTGTGTGTGTGTGTGTGTGTGTGTGTGTGTGTGTGTGTAGTTCCCTCTCTCCCAAGGCTGGGTTTGCTCTCATCAAGCGCTGTGTGTGTGTGTGTGTGTGTGTGTGTGTGTGTGTGTGTGTAGTTCCCTCTCTCCCAAAGCTGGGTTTGCTCTCAAGAGTATCCAGAACACACATAAATGAAATCCTCCCCAGAAGGGTGATGTCATCCCTCCTACAATCACGGAACCACAGCAAGAGTTCTTAAAAGCCCTTGGCCCTGTTTTGTGACAAGGAAGATAAATTGTAGAAAATGATTTTAATTTTCACTTCAAGGCGATCTAGGGAATTAAGGAACATTGTGTAACCACACAAAGGTAAAATCTGCCTCTGAGTTGCAGGCATTGATGGTGAGCCTGAGTTCCAAAATGCACAGAACCAAGGGTGTATACTTGGAATCCTCATGAAAATACTGGCCTTATATTGTCCTGTCATCAAGACTTCACCTGCAAAAAGATAGGCATGTAGTCCCATACACTGATTTTCCAGTCCAGATTTATTTGGTTTCCCAAAAAGCTCTGCTTAGTGATACTATTTAGTCACCTCTAATAACAGGTGACTAAAACCTAGCTCAAGCCTCCATAAGCACAAAGGGAAAATTTTAGCTTACTGGTGGAAATCCAAGCTTGGCTAAATCAGGCGTGGAGACATCCAGGAGGGTGGGCATAATGATAAAATCAGAGCTCTGTCTGTCACATCTGTCAACCTCTGCATGGCTTCATCCTCATATAGGTTCTGTCTACAAGAGTCACTCTACATGGTCCTTGCAACCCCAGAGAGAGTGACTTCCTCTTGCCTGGTGTCCTGAGGCTACCTCTAGTGGAAAAACTCAAATTTGTGCCTGTACACTCTTGTGAAACCAACCAGAGGACAAGAAGACACAGAAATGGAAGAGTCCAATACAAATAGCGTGCAATGTGGAAGGGGGGTTTACCGAGGGAAAAAGGACGCTTGGACTGATATTCCACCCCCTGACTGCCCAGCAGGAGCCTGCACACGCACATACACTTGTGCACACATATATGTTCTCTTTTTCCATACGTGTAATTTACTCCAGGAGTTGGTGATGGACAGGGAGGCCTGGCGTGCTACAGTTCATGGGGTCGCAAAGAGTCAAACACGACTGAGCAACTGAACTGAACTGAATTCCTTCTCTAACATGATACAGCCAGGCTACACATATCCAACCATGTACTTACCTCTTCCCCAAAGCAGGTCAAGCCTGAGTTCCTTCTAGTTAGACCATCCATTTCCTAGTCCAGAGACTCCGGATAATACGCATTCCCTTTTGTCAAATCTAGATGTGGCTTTTTCACAGGCCAGTTACGTTGAAATGTTAAATCTACCTCTAAATGTTAAGAATAGAATGACCGTATGACCTAGACGTTCCACTCCTGGGTATACATCAAAAAAAAAAAACTCACAAAAAACATTCATTTGAAAAAATACATGCACCCCAATGTTCAAAGCAGCACTATTTGCTATAGCCAAGACATGGCAACAACCTTAGTTTCCACCAACAGGTGAATGGATAAAGAAGATGTGGTACATATATACAATGGAATACAACTTGGCCATAAAAAAGGACAAAATTTTACCACTTGCAGCAACATGGATGGACTTGGAGGACATGATGCTCAGCGAAATAAGTCAGTCAGAAAAAGACAAATACTGTATGATATATGTGGAATCTAAAAAATACAATCAACTAGTGAATATAGCATAAAAGAAGCAGACTCACAGACAGAATAAATTAGTAGCTACCATTTCATTGCATTTTCTGGCCTTTTTATACCAATAACCTCCTAAGTGTTGGGCAATGGTACATTTGTATGGCAGCTGCCCATGCCTGAAGGTATTAGCAGCTGGGCAGAGCCAAGACACCCAGAGCCCCAGCCCAGTGTGCTATACAAATGCTATCCTTCTCTCTGTAGATGTGGATTTCATAAATTTTCATCCTCTGTCCCTACTGAGTCCAAAGCCTACACATGATCCAGGTCCTAAATCATTAAGAGGTAACAACTCAGTCAGATTCAGATCAGAATTCAGAGACAGAAGACAGTTTCAAGGTCATCAGGGGAGGGGGGTGAATGGACTGTACCCTAAATGAAATGGTAATGAGCAGACAAGAGCCCTATGTCCACTGGAGTGGGGGGACTGGAGGCTTGCTCTATACAGCTGCTTAATCTAGTAGACAGGAAATCTCTAAGTTCAGAATCTTCTCACAAAGATCCATGGATCAGGGGTTGGCAGATCTTTCCTGTAAAGGGCCAAACAGCCGGTATTTTTTACGTTTGTGGAGCACACGACCTCTGTCCCAGTTGCTAAGTTCTAGTGTCAGCAGAGCAGCCCAGATAATATGCATATAACCCAAGGGGAAGTGTTCCAAGGAAACGTCATTTACAAACACAGCTGGCAAGATTATGGACCCCTGATACGGATGAGCAACTTGGAGAGCTGGGTGAGTGGTCAGACCACAGGGTGGAGTTGAAGCAGGACAGGTTCGGGGAGGGACAGGAAGAAGGAGGAGCTATAGCCACACCACATGGATAGGAAGAGTTGAGACCAAGGAACTATCCTGGACTGTGTATCGTAAATAAGCCTGTAATACATGATTGAGGTTACAGATAAAGGCAGAGTTCAAAATACACATATAACTGGCAAGAATAAGAGGCGGCCAATTTCCATATGAGGATGCAAGCCTTCTGGGAACATTACCAAGAAATCTTTATAATAAAAAGAGAGTCATAGAATATCTATGAAGAATCACGAGGTCAGAATTAAGGTCAGGGTCCAAGTTTAGTTTCTTCCTCTTGTAATCCCAAGAGTGTTCCTGGTATGGGATAAAAGAGGAATCATATAATAAATACTTATTCATTTATGTCAGACACAGGCAAGTTTAAAAATTCTATTATTTAGAAAGTGTTTAAAAATATAAGGGAACTGGCACTTATATACTGCTGGTAGAAGCAGTATATAATAATATATTGCTATGATTTTAATAATAATAAAAAATTATTAATAATTTAATAATAAATTGGTATCATCTTCCTAGAGGAATCTTTAGTAATATAACAGAAACCTTAAAATAGTCATACTTGAAAATTTTTATTTCAAATAAATATTTTGTTTCAAGGTATAATAATTAGAGAATAATTACAACTACTTAGGAATGTGTATACGAAGATGAGTATTGTGTTGCTGTTTATAATAGGGAAAAAATAGAAACAGTTGAAATTTCCAGTTAGAAGGGCTTGTCTAAAAAATTATGATGCACTCATAGAATGGTATAAATTCTATGTAATGGTTTTAAATTATTGTGTCAATTAATATTGACATTTATTTAAGATACACATGATTCACATAAGGGTAAGTGAGAAAAGTAAGTTATAGGAATGTAGTATAATAAGATTTTTCAGTAGATTGTTTTAGAACAATCCTACCATTAAGAATGATGAGAAAAGCTGGACAAATTGATTAGTATAAGACTTAATAAAGAAGAAAAGAATCCCATGTGTTGGAAGTTATCAGAGAACTAGCAAGGCAGCTTCTGGAGCCAGATCCAGAAGAGAGTGAAGCCAAGAGAGGTGAGCCTGGCATTCCCAGCTGCTTTTCTCCTTGAAGCAACTGCTAATTTGAAAGAGACAATTTAGTGGCAAAAGAACCAAACAGATGGAATTTTGGCACTTTCACAGGGCCAGGCGGGCAAAGTTTAGATTTTGGTGCCCTCTAAGGAAGAGAAATTCTGGCAAATAATCCAGACTTTTGCTTGGGAGTACAAAGCACTACTTCTCTAGAATAAGGGTGATTAGATACAACTAAAGAGACATTTAATATAGAAAGTGTGTGTGCGTGTGTGTGTGTGTGTGTGTGTGTGTACACACTGCAGCTTAAACATAATATTGAAAAGAAGAAGACAGACATAAAAGAATACTGTACACACAGACTACTGGATAGTTCCACTTACATGAAGTTTAAAAACAGACAAAAACAGGGACTTCCCTGGGGATCCAATGGCTAAGATTTCATGCTTCCAGTGCAGGGGGTGTGGGTTCAATCCCTGGTCAGGGAATTAAGATCCCACATACCACATGACCAAAAAATTAAAAAAAAATTTTTAAATAAAAACAGACAGAAATAATCTACAGTGTCAAACATCTGTGGTTAAATTTAGGGAAGACAAAGGGAATAATGGTTAGGTGTGGGAAGGGGGGAGGCTATTTCTTGACCTGAGTTGTGGTTACACTGATCTACTGACTAAATTATTCCTCAAGCTGTTATAATTTCTGTACTTCTCTCTATATATGTTATATATCAATAAAATATTTACTAATACATGTGTATACATACCTGTAAATAGGAAAGTCTATTAATAGAGGTTATCTTTGAGCCTTATCAACAATTTTTTTCTTTTCTTTGTGTTTTTCTGTAGTAATCTGGATTCTTTGTGGAAAAGGAAATGAAAGAGAAAAAGAAAAAAAACAAAATACTGACCATTTTTTTTTAAAAATTGAGGTATAATTGATGTATAACTAACCAGTTTTATTTATTCAAATTCTCCTGATCCCAGAGTAAAAATGAGATTTAGATTTGGCTTAAGAGTCTCCTAGAACTAAAAGTTGTTAAACAGAGAAAATGATGGATTCTTCTTTCCTGATAACCTTTCAGAATAGAATAATGGTTAAATATGTTCCTCCTGAGGGCATGGCTGTAGACCAGAATACTTAAGATTCATTTTTTCATCTGTGATCCTATAGTTTTCCATATGAGGAGGGGGATACATTCAAGGAATTTCTTTTATAGTGAGTTTACTTTCCACATAGTGGGCTGGTGGCTGGGAATAACAACATGTAATCATGACTCTAGGACCTTACAGTCTACAGGGGTCATATACTTGTAGATGAAATGTGATAAAGGAAATGCCACTCACGCCCTCACTAACCATTATGAATTGTATATATACAAGTCAGACTCTGAATCAGAGCCTGGGATATTGCAGTAAACAAAACAAAATCTATGCTCTCATGGAGACTACAGTCTAGGAAACAAATATATAACACATCAAGTGGTAATAAGTGCAATGAAGGAAAAACACAGCAGAGTAAGGATGAAAAGTGATGGTGGAGTTGGTGACACAGAGCACCTATTTTAGATAAGCTGAACGCATGAGTAAGGCCGCTGTGTCTGGGGACACTGGGACAGACATCTGAACGAGGTGATCTACGTGGCTTTTGAGCAGTCCGGGAAGAACCAGTGTGCTTGGACCGTGCCTGAAGCAACAGGCAGGAGAAGGATGAGTAGGCAGGAAAGAATGGAGCAGATCACATAGGGACTTATGGTCTGGGACGAGGACTTTATCTTTGTGAAATGGGAAGCTGCTGGAGCATTTGGAACAGATCCATGGTCAGATCTGACTGAAGTTTTAAATGAGTTTCTCTGGCTGCTGAGTGGAGGACTGATGTGAAAAGGCAACTGTGGACAAGATCAGGAAAAGACTTGCTCTTCTCTCGGCAGGATGTGGTTTGAACCATGAAGATATTACAAGAAAAAGGGAAAAGGGATATTATTCTGGATATATTTTGAAGGCAAAGACAATAGGATCTGTTAAAGGAATAGATGTAACATATATATATATATATATATATATATATATATATATAAAAGAGTCAAGAATAACTCCAAGAATTTTGTTCTGAGAAACTAAGAGTTTTGAGATGCAATGTTTATTGAATCAATGTAGTCTTGAGAAATGCAACTGGGGAAGGGAATGAGCTTATAGGAGCAGAACCAATTCACTGTTCTTTTAATGCAAAGGAGGAAGCAACTAAAAAGACTGAGGAAGGCAGGTAACACCTCTGAAAATCATGCATACCACAGAGACTTTGTAATGCTAATAATATAAAAAGCTGCTATTCACTTTCCTCAATTTTCTCTTTGTTTTACTGTTGCATTTCAGTAGGGTCATAATTAATGGTCAAACCACAGTATTCAAACCTGTAAATCTTTTTAACTCATAAACATCCTTTACCACTTTCCGTAAGTATCACACTTTCTGAAAGTTTTCCCTAGTCTTTTCTATTAAAGTTAGGTAAGCCCTCCTGGGCTTCCCTGTTGGCTCAAAGTGGTAAAGAATCTGCCTGCCAATGCAGAAGATGCAGGAGACATGGGTTAAATCCCTGATCTGGGAGGATACCCTGGAGAAGGAAATGGCAATCCATTCCAGTATTCTTGCCTGGGAAATCTCATAGACAGAGGAGCCTGGCAAGCCACAGTCCATGGGGTCACAAAGAGTCAGACAAGACTGAGCAACTGAACAAACAATGATTCCTCCTGTAGACTTCCTGGAACTTCAAGGGTCCTATCATATTCCTTACCAAATAAACTGTATTACCATCACCCATTTCTGTCTGATCAAGCCGACAGGTCCAATTAACTTTATGGGAGTAGATGACTCAGGACTTAGCACTCAGTAAAAAATATGAGAAAGAAAGAAGGGCAGGGAGGGAAGAAAAGTGGGAGGAGTCTAGAGTGTATCATCTCTCCATTATCTGGAAATTATTTCATTGCAATGGGTCCACTTGCTTGAATCCACTCTTGCTCCTTAAGGCCAGGTGAGCTGTAGGTATATTCTAGATATGTTGTCCTAGTATAATTAAGTGGAAAATTATAATGTGATGACTTCTGGAAGCTTCTTACCATCTTCCCTCTGTTGTATTAAAGTTTGTATTAAAACTAGAATTATAGATCAGAGCTGTCCACTAGAATGTTCTCTAGTGAGGGAAATACTCTATATCTGGGTTTCCCAGTAGTTATACTAGCTGCCTATGGCTACCGATCACTTGAAACATGGCTAGTATGACTGACAAAATGAATTTTAAATTTTATCTAATTTAATATACTTAAGTTTGTAACCACGTGTAGTAGCTACCATTTGGATAGACTCTTGATATTAGAACTCGTATTTTCTAATTTTCTACCTTTACAGATGAGTAAACCCAGCCTAAAAGAAGCCAACGTTATTTGCCCAACTTCCTAATTCCTTGTACCAAAACATGTTCCTGGTTTTGCCACTAGTTATATATGGTGTGACCTTTATGTTGAAATCTATTTCTTACGTAGAAACTTTTAATTTTCAGATTAACAGACCAAAAGCCTTCCTTACAGACTTGTAACCAAGAGAACACTTTAAAGGGAAAAAAAAGACCTTAAGTCCAACTATATTTAGAAAAAGGTGATTTTCTCCATAAGGGATTTTAAAAAATTATTATGATTATAATAAATTACATACTGTGGCTCATCTGATGATCACTTTTCTTAAGCAGAATCATTTGTTGAAACTCAGAATCAGCTGTGCATAACATTACTGGATTACCAGTGGTAAACTGAACGCCTGAACAAAGAACCCAACTTCTGAGGCTTTACAATCGTCCTTGAATAATAAGGAAGTGGGGATACAGAAAATAACTGAAAAATGACCAATTATTAATATATTTAAAAAATCATATCTAGCTTTGAAAGCCCATCTAATTTCTGTACAGATACCTTGGGAACAAAGAGGTTGGAGCTGTGTGTGTAGGTGATGGTGGTCAGGCAGGAGCCGTGGAAGGCTTGGGAGGTAAGGAATTTTCTCTCTTCCTTCCTAAAAACAAACACAATTCTTGGAGACCTAACTGGGTACCAGGCCCTAGAGTCCACAGAATGTTCTTTTCCATAGCTTAAACTAAACTCTATGTCTCTTTGGACTTGTCTTGCATGTGCGTGCATGCTTAATTGCTTTAGTCATGTCCACTCTGTGCGACCCCCTGGACTGAAGTCTGCCAGGCTCCTCTGTCCATAGAATTCTCCAGGCAAGACTATTCTCCAGGGTTGCCATGCCCTCCTCCAGGGGATCTTCCTGACCCAGGGGTTGAACCTGTATCTCTCGGGTCTAGCTTGCATTGGCAGGTGGGTTCTTTACCCCTAGCACCACCTGGGAAGCCCTTTGCCTTGCATATCCACTTGGCAAGTCTCTAATCCTAGATGAATCAAGTGTCCATCTTCTCTGGCATCTGAGAAGTGGAGCACCTGGGGGAAACCTCACTGTGGGGGGACGGGCTGCAGATCTCAGATCACCGGTCTCCAGTGGGACCCTAGGCTCCCTGTAGACCACCTCTGCAACCCCAGGAGGCCTTTCTTTCCTCTTCTGGCCCAGCACTCTCAGCAGACGTTCTCCTTTCCTGCTTCACTGAGAACAGATGCTGTCAGATGAGAAACCTCTCAGTATCTCACCCCCGAGTCTCCAAACCTATTGACCTTGGCCCCAGTCCTCCCGTGGAAAGAAGGGACGTGCCCTCCCCCACATCTAAGTCTGTTTCCTCCCGCCCTCCGCTCTTTACAGTGACCTTGTGTTATCTCTGGTTCTCTGTTTCTCTTTGCTCAATATTCTCATCAGCATTTAAACACACTCAAGCATTTTCTATTTTAAAAGATACAAAAACGACCCTCCTTTGACCCCACAAACCCCCTCCAGATACCCTCCCAACTGTCTCTCTCCCACAGACCACCTCTTGGAGTTCTGATATACTTCCTCACTTTACCTTCCCCAATCCCTCCAACCTGGCGCCCACTCCCACCAACTCACAGGTCTCTCCAATCACTGCGTCCCCGCTGTTCTGCAGAAGCTGTGTTAAATACCCCAGTGACTGAGGCAGATGTATCTCAAGGGCAGTTTGAAAACGTTCATCTTTTCATCTGAGCATCTGACATGGTTGACCACACTGCCTTCTTGCAGCCACCCCTGCTGCTGGCACCTGTCTCACAGATCCTCTTGGTTTCCTCTTACCTTTCAGGTTTCTCTTTCTTATTTTCCCCAGTAGGCTCAGTCTATTTACCAAACCTTTAAACAGTGGAAGCTCTTAACACATTATTGACCAGAGATACATTAATCTGTATTTTGTTACCCAAACATTATTGACCAGAGAAATATTAGTTCAGTTCAGTTCAGTTGCTCAGTCATGTCTGACTCTTTGCAACCCCATGGACTGCAGCACGCCAGGCCTCCCTGTCCATCACCAATTCCCGGACTTTATTCAAACTCATGTTTGAGTTATGCCATCCAACCATCTCATCCTCTGTCATTCCCTTCTCTGCCTGCCTACAATCTTTCCCAGCATCCAGGTCTTTTCAAATGAGTCAGTTCTTCACATCAGGTGGCCAAAGTATTGGAGTTTCAGCTTCAGCATCAGTCCTTCCAATGAATACTCAGGACTGATTTCCTTTAGGATGGACAGGTTGGATCTCCTTGCAGTCCAAGGGACTCTCAAGAGTTTTCTTCAACACCACAGTTCAAAAGCATCAATTCTTCGGCACCCAGCTTCCTTCATAGTCCAACTCTCACATCCATACATGACTACTGGAAAAACCATAGCTTTGACTAGA